TTAGGACAACATCGCTGATTTGGACAGTGAGCTGAATTGGAGAATTTTTCCAAAATCAGCTATGTTGTCCTAGATTGTTCACTTCTCCTAGCATCTCCAAACTCTTCACCCCTTTGTGAATAACCCTGTTAGGATAGAATTAGCATACGTTTTTGGCTTTTTGTAATTAAATAATTGACGCTCTGTTCTATATTCTCAGCTTCTTCATGGATTACAAAGAGTCCAGACTGTGCCGGAAGCAAAGGTAAAAGTGCCATTTTTATACTGTATATCTCACACATTTATCGATTTACACTTTTGTAAAAATATATTATCCTGCACAGGCAATAACATCATTCAAAGCTCCATAACCAGATTACAAGGCATAAATATTGGATGATGTTTATTATGTCATCTCAAAGCAGCTGAAAATCACTTGTAATTTTCCAAATTATGTAGTGTTGTACGCTTGATTTTTTTAAATGTGACATCTGCTTACCTGCTCCCCACTGTCATCTTCAGTCACTGGAGTGGGCAGTGTAAAGGTGGCCATACACTCTACAACCATCGCAAGACCTTAGTCTTGCGATTGTTGTACAGGGATTAAAAAAACGTACGATCTGCCTATCTTGGACAGGCAGATCGCACTCTCGATCATCGCAAGCCCGCCCCCCTGAGGGGCGGGCTTCCGATGACCGCAATGCTGAACGGGCAGTGTACGCGTGCGCACACCGGCCCGTTCGGCATTTGTCTTCCGAGCACCGTTCTAACCAGCCGAAAATCGTACGATTCCCGGCTGGTTTTCGAACATGCTGGTTCGACGGAAGATGTGCGACCGTACAGTAGAAACGGTCGCACGTCTCCGTTCACACTGCTCGATTCTCGTACGATCGCGGGATTTCCTGCGATTCTCGTACGAGAATCGGGCAGTGTATGGGCACCTTTAGTCTCTTACCACTGACTTCCTTTATGGTGCTCTGCAAAGCAAGTCAGTAGTGGAAGTCTACCTCTGCCTGGTGCCGTCGTTGTTGATAGTGCAGAGCCCATGAGCAGCTGTCACATCCAAGGGTCCCACTTTGATAGAGTTCTGAAAGTGGTGGAATTATTATGTGTGTATCGAAGAAAAAAAAATCTTTATAGGCAGTTAGTTGGATGTGATAAGAAATAGTCAGGGCCCCATCTTGGGTATGGCGGTCATTTCATTGTAATAAGAAATGGTGAGGGCCCTATGTTAGCTATGGTGCCCCCTCATCTGTACCATCATCTGGTAGTGACTTTGTAGTTTTTTACTACAGGTGGTATCTTTGGGCAGTTTGGAAAATTGTCCCGGAATTGTTTTTAGTGCCTCCAAGGACATTTCTGTAGCTGGTATGAAACTGCTGCTGAGGCCCCTAGACTCATTTAACATTTGAGTGTGGTCTGTTTTGTTGGAATTAAGGGTTGTGGTTGGAGATGGCCACACAGCAAAATAAAATGGTTCCATCTGAATGACCCTAGTCAAGCTCTAGTTGATGATTGATAAACTAAAGACATGGTATTGATTTTTGGCACAGCACATTTTCAAGTTAGTTTGTCATTTGGCTATCTGGTGTGTTATATATGGTTCATTAAATACCTTGTATCTTCTTGTAGTTTATGCCACACAAGCATACAGTATATTGTTTCTCTGTATCTCCAACCGTACTCATTATTTACTATAAAAAAATTAGGAGGAAAGTCTTTGACATACTGTATATCGCTCTGCCTGTGAAGGTTCTCATTCATCCAGGTCATGGTATACTGTATCTGTAAAAAAATAAATCAAAGCAACTGGACTTGCTGTATTTTTCTTGAAGACGTTTCGCTGGTCATCCGACTTAGCTTTCCCAATTCAGAAGTGAGAAGGCTAGTTGGATGGCCAGCAAAAATTATTCAGTTAATTTTTAACAGAAGTATATCTCTCTGTTCTGTATAGGTGCCCCCCCCCCCCTAGAAAAAAAAGATTTTAGTTTTCAGTGCTTTGCTTCTCAGAATCCAACTTGTTTTGCCATTGGTTGATGATGCTGGATGTTTTGTGTTGATGTGTCTTAAGGAAAGCTGAATGATAAGATTTCTATGTGATGATATTTAACATTTTATGCTCATAAGTCTGCATCAATTTCAAATAATTACTGGTAATTATCTTCTAGTTCACAAACTACCTCATTCTTTGCAATCCATTCTTTACCATCTCCATTATTAGCAAACAGTATATGCAGATCTGTTTATTTTTATAGTGCTCTTTGAGACCATGCTTGCCTTCCATCATACTCCCCAGTTGTTGGGGCTGTGCAGCATTAATGTGTCTTATATGAAAGAGCCAGTTGGTTGTGGTTGTCCCAGTCTATAGGTTCCCGGACTCCCCTGGATCATGTTCCAGTCATAAATCCTCTAATCTCCTTTCCCCATCTTCTGATCATCTTGTATAAGACATAGAACATCTCACAATTGACTGGAAAGCACTGTACTTTTTTTCAAACAATGGAAAGAAATTTCTGTAATATTTGTGACAATGAAAGGACTTAACAAATGCTGGAGGACAGGTAAAAAAAAAGCAAAAAAAATGGTAATATGAGTTGCTTGGCATGTTAAAAATCAATACAAGCATTTCAGGTTTGTGAAGTGAATTGTTTAAGCCAAGCAGAGAACTCATAATCACAATCATAACTATAAAAAATGCGGGGGAACACACAAAAGAAATACCGCTACTTCACTGCTTAGGGAAGGAATGAGCCAGGTGCTTGCCACTGGGAGCACTTCCTCGTTCCAGTATGACCCCATATAAACAGATGAAAAGCTAATCATACACCGGATTCCACTAGATTAGCCTATTGAATCTTGTACATCGCTGGTGTCCCACTCAAGTTCCACCCAACTAACGCATTTCACCCAAACATGAGCTTAGTCGTATAAATACGACTAAGCCTGTGTTCGGGTGAAACACGTCAGAGGGGTGGACCATGGGCAGGCCAGCAGTGATGTGGTACAAGCTTAAATAAACTACTCCAGCAGAATCTGGTGTGTGGCCAGCTTTTCTTCTGTTTATAAAAAATGGTAGTAGTTCTATTATAATTGCCAGTAACACACTTCCTGGTGACAACACTTATTCACTAGACCGTAACTATGGAGGAGCAGTAACCCGAGGACAGGAAGTGTTAGGACTATGCACCGAAGTTTTGAAAATGATACTATGGGCAAAATGGTGATAGTACCAAAACGGCCGAAAATGCTGCCAAAAATTCAGTGCATCCCCAGCTTCTCTCATCCCCACTGGGAACTAGTCTGTGTCCCCCCAAGTCCCTGCTGCTCTCCCCACCTGTGTCGGCACCCAGCGGGGAGGAGAGAAGCTGTCAGGAGGCCAACTGGGGAGGTGTGGAGAGAAGACAGCTGTGAGAAGGCCGAGCAGGGTGGTGTGGGAGGAGAGCTCGGCCTCCTGTGACAGGCGGATCAGTAAGGATGGAGAGTGGAGCACAAACACTCAGCAATCAAAACTGATCGCTGAGTGTTTGTAAATAACTTAGGAGATAGTATGCTTACTGTGTCCTCAGTTATGAATGAGCAGGAAGTGCTCTACATCACTTCCTCTTCGTTCATGATTGTGGAGCACTCAGTATAGAGGCTTTTTGTTCATTCATAACAGGGAATGCAGAAAAATAGATTTAGGACTCTGTGTCCGCAATCTCTTTTTCTATTTCAAAAGGGAAATATCAATGAATGGCTATTTAAACTTTTTTTTTGTTTTATTCATTGTTGATTTGGTTAGTTTCATGAACACAACCAGAGAGAAAGACAATGGGGTTTAGTGTGAGTCGCTCTTTTTGGAAATATTAAAGTGACATTATAAAGATAAAATGTACAATCTTTTATTTACATATCTAAAACATGAGATTATTTTTAAGAGATATGTAAATAAAATATTGTAAATTTTATATTTGTACTGTCATTTTAATATTTCCAACAAGGGCAACTCACACTAAACCTCACTGTCTTTCTCTCTGGTTGTATTCATACTAACTTGGTGTGGGGGTGACAAGCTCTTATACCTGATTGCATGCCCTACCCGGGTATTTTCCTATCCTATCTCATATCTAGTTATTTGGTTAGTGTCCTGTTAAAAAAAGAACAAAACTAAAAGGAGGAAAAAAGCCTTTATTTATTTGTAAATAGGTTTGCAATGCTTTGTACCAGAATAATAATTTTGGCATCATTTTAAAAAAAGTTTATGTTTTTTTTTCTGCAGTCACAACAATGAAGAAAGTAGTAAAATACATTTTTTAGTTGTCGTAATTTTTTTTTTAATCTATGGATTGTACAAAAAAAATCAAGACAATAAAGACAAGACACAATGTTTGCAAGATAATATCAACAAAAAAAAGCCTTGTTTGTCCAAAAAAGCCAATTTATCTATTACGTTGCAATCTTTAGTAATGCCAGATTATTGCTGTATCAATAGGCCCAGAGCAGAAATGTAGAAATTGCTCTGTGAGGTGTGAGAGCTGAAGTGGTTAAAAGCGAATTATTAGGAGAGTAAAATATAGTCTTTGCAATACTTAGAGCTCTGTAGATTAAGAGTTGAGCGATCATGTAAGCATTGATCACTCAGCTCACAGTCCCCACCCTGTGCAGGGATTTCCTCCTCCCCTCTCTGTTCCTCCAGGACTCACTGGAAGGACAGGCAGGGGAGGGGGCGGGCACAACTGTCAATCAGACAGCTGGGTGGATCAATATTGTTGGGATCCTTCCAGGCTAAAGTGTCTGGGGAAGTCACTGCTATATGCTGACTTTGGGTCACAGGAGGAAATGAGTAAATCTGCTCCTTTGACCCAAAAGAGAAGTAAAGCCAAAACAAGATTTGACTTTACTTATCCTTTAGTAAAGTGTAGAAGTTTGTGCAATGTGCAGTCATTCATAGCAACAATTCAGTTTTCTTTATCCTAGACTGATTACGATGACCATTTCTTTCAGGATCTTCTCTCACCTATCTCGTGGACACGACAGGATCTATGTGGGATGATCTGTATGAACTGAAGTTGGTGAATGGTTGGCTCCTAGATCGCATCGCTGCTAGATTCCCCTGTGGCGTCAGACAGTACACTATGGTGGAGTTCAATGACCCAAGTAATGACCATTTTAAACGTTAAAGCTGCTCTATGAAACTGTGGTGGAGTTGAGTTTCTGTGAACGTTTTCAGGGATTGTTTTGTCTTCAAATCATGCAAGAGATTCAGCAAGCCTAAAACTGCGTTTGAAGCTGAACTCCAAGCAGATGTAAACGTCAAACATTAATGCACCACTGTTTTCATGAATACATTGTTAAATGCCTGCCTAAATGCAAGCAGTGTAAGCACCAGGATTTGACTTAGCATCAGCCTCTTGCTGTCCCTGTAGAGTAGGCAAGGGTTAAAACCATGACCAATTTTATTTTTTGATGCATATGATTAGATTTCCCTTACGTTCCTGTCTTAGCTTTGCAGCAGGAAATTAGAAGTAATCTCTCATAAGTGAATGGAATTCCCATTTTTGACATGTGTCTCCAAAACATCTGGAGGATCTCCCCTCAAGTCTTATTTTAGTGACAACTCAATTCTTTGGGATTTCTTCTCCCTTTCTTTGTCGGTTATAGTGGTCACCATGGACAAATAATTGGGTGAATGTCCCCAGCAGAAACACAGACAGCAACAAAAAACTTCCAAATGGAAGTAGAGGTAAGGTGCTGGACCCAGTAGTTATCAGTTCATAAGATGAAGACAGTCTTAAGCAAGGCCCAGTTTGGCAGCTGTCCACAAGGCGGAGGGCCCTTCCAGTATTAGGAAATCTTATGAATATCCTACCACACTCCTTACAGTATGCCCCTTAGAGATGGGTGATGAAGTGATGAAGGGATGGCGCTGCTCAAACCCAAGAAGATACAGTATGTCCCCAGCACACTGAAGTAAAGTGTGCAAAAATGTACATCATGTCACAAAGAAGGCAAGCCTAAAAATACATTTTTGGACACTTTACTTCAGTGTGCTGGGGACATGAGGGTAGTGTATCAAAACTGGAGCAGACAAAATCTGGAGCAGATTTTCACTACGGCCAATCAGCTTCTCTCGTTAAATGTAGCTAAACGTTTTGGGGTAAAATAGTTTTTATTCAAATCTTAACTGAACAAACTGAAGAGAGATGCTGATTGGTTGCCATGCCCAGCTGCTCCAGATTTTCTCTGCTCCAGTTTTGATAAATTCCCCACAATGTATCTTCGAGTATTAAAGTCAGCCAGCTTGAGAAATCCACAGGTATTCAAATCGGAAAAGAACACAAATGTCTCAAGAGTCCAAAATCGTATTTTATTGATCCACCTATATCACAAAGACAAAACAAAGCATCCAGCGCGTTTCAGGGGCCAAACAATCCTCCTTTATCAGGACTTTAACAATTTCAAGGAACGTGGACTCCAAGCCCGGGTCTTTAAAAAGCAAGCAAAAAATTTGACAGAGGGTCCACCAATCTCCTTCTCTATTCATAACTAGACAATACAAAATGCCATTATATACACACATGTAAATGGAGGGAACTTTGTGACTTTAGCAAATTGGTTCTATAAATGACCAAATCAGTTCACTACATGATTTCTTTAATTGTTGCTCATTGCACTTTTTTTTTTTTATCAAAAAGAAAAAAAATGTAATTGTTTGTCATGTCTTCTATTTCTCTTTTAGGTGTTGGCCCTGTTAGGATAACATATTCAAAAGACGAGTTTTCCTATTTCTTCAATAACCTCGTGGCCAGTGGAGGAGGCGACTGTCCAGAACTGGCTATAGCGGGACTGAAGCTGGCTTTGGAGAACTCGCCAGATAAATCTTTCATTTTAGTACTGACGGATGCATCCGCATTAGATTATAATAATGCTAGTCTTGTAAATGAAGTATACCGTCTTTTAAATACAACCCAGTCACAGGTAAGATGAATGCTAAACAGTTACTTGTATATAAGCTTTTACACAAACGCTGCTTTTTACTTATTATGTTTTAAGGGACAGATGTTGATACATTTATATTCTTTGGTAATTCTGAGTTCTGAGGACTGCCCACCCATTGCATCCAGCCATTAAATGGGTGTTTAATTCTCCCTGTGAGATTTTTGATTTAGTAGATAAATAAAAGCTAGTAGATTTGAAATGTAGGATAACATAGGTTACTATAACTAACAGCTATATAAGCCCCAGGTCTGGGCTGGGGAGAAGTAGAAATAATATATGTTGGGCTGATGGCTCCTAGTGGAGATAATTCCCATGCAGACCTCAGTTAGAGTGGGACCCACTGTCAGTGACATTAAAGAGCTCTCTGCTAACTGCTGAGACCCGTAATCTTTTATCTACTTTCACTGTGGCTCTCAGATGTTATATGACCGAATGCAGAGAACTGCAAAGACAGTCAAGAAGAGTGCAAAACTGTAAAATGTGTTGTGCCCATTTGTTCAAGAAAGCTGAGTTATAAGGATTCATTGTAAGATTTGGCAGACCACAAATAACTCAACCAATCAAGTGGGAGCAGCACATGAGAAAGAGAACTTGTCAGCAACAGTCCCACCGCCTCCACCTTCAGTTGCTTCATCCCCCCAATCCACATTCCCTGGTGCATCGGAGCATATCTCTGCTGCATGATTTGCTAGGGGACCCAGAGGTCTGTCCTGGTCTAACTCCACCAGAGGGTAAGGGGGCCAGAAGCAGACCACAAAGTGAAGGTTGTAACCTTAATTCTGGATCTGCATGCTCATGCTCGTTTGTTAAAGAAACCTGAATTATAAGGATTGTCTATGAGGTTTAGCAAACCACATGCAGCTCCACCACTGAGCTTTGTGGGAGCAGCACATGAGCGAGAGAACTCATCAGCAACAGTACCTCCGCTTCCACCTTCTTTAGTTGATTAATTCCCCCTAACCATATTACCCTGGTGCATCGAGCATATCTCTGTGGCATGGTTTGCTAGAGGGCACAGAAGTCTGTCCTGATCTTACTTCAGCAGAGGATAAGGGGGCCAGAAGAAGACCATAACGCAAAGGCTAAAAACTTAGTTATGGAACCTCAGCCTTCACCAATTCCCAACCGACCATCTTCAGTAGCAACCTTTATTTACCAGACATCTCCTCCCCAGATACTGGGGAAAAAAAACTAGCCGAATTCCCAGCACCTTAATGCAAATTTGGCCAAGTCCCTGACACTGGAACTCTTCCAATGCCAGCCAGTGAAAACATCCCTCATTCAAAAGTTCTTGGCCAGTGCAGTCCACAGAGGCAAATACCCAGCCACCATTATATTTCTCAGAAGGACAGAATTGGAAACTAGATGCGAGTTCACTTTTATTTATTTGTTTTTTACTTTGTTATTTTAGGTATTCGCGTGAAAATCAAAACTTTAAAGTCAGTAACACCAGTTTGAATCCAATGTTGAAAACTCTATTTTTAACTTTTGTTTTTGCTATTATTTAAAAAAGCTGATAGTGACAAAATACAAGATGAACACGAAGCACCGAATGAAAACCCTTTCTTGGTATATTTGACTGTTATATCTTGGGAAACATCAAATAACAGTAATGTGCACAAAAAAACTACAGTGTACTGTCTCTTCACATTTTTTAAGGTGCTATATTCACACCTATTGTCTGAAGCAACTCATGTGCCAAAAAAACAAAAACAAAACACTCAGCAGGGGCCCTTTGAGGCTTTCATTACCATTTGGGTGAAAATAGCTTTCCTAACAGCCTTTCTTTGATGGCCAAATGTGCCAAATTATCAGCAAATTGGCAATTTCTTAAATAAATTCACAGAATTGGAGTCAAATAGAATGGCTACATAATAGTCATTCTCCAGTTCAAGGAAAGTAAAAAATGTTTCAACTGGTTATATACATTATTATTTTAAAAGCTTCTCATTTTAAAATATTATCCTGCTTTCTAACGAAAGTGTAACTTCATGTTTGTTGAGGGAAAAAAACGATCCCCTCTGGGTGATCAATGTACATTGCAAGGATTTTGACAAATTGTATTGCAGATTCATTAATTTTTCTGTTATGAAGAAAACGCTGTTTGTTTCACCTGTTTTGTTGTCCTTTCCAGACTGATTCCTAAATGTGAGTGTTCCAACTGGTATTCTAATGAGGAAAGCTGCAGTGTTGGCATCCCTTTAGAGGTAGTTAATACTTAGGGTGTATCTCACCCAATCAAATGCCTCTTGCAAGAGATACCTAAGATTTTACTTGTATCTTGGTGCAGACTTCTTGGAAAATCAGTCAGCCAATCACACAAGCAGGAAATGGCATCACTGGGGGTGTTCCATACACCAACTGTGTACAGAACACCTTCAGGCTGTGATATTACATTGAATTGTTTGAACAGTTTTAGAAAATCACACTTAGTGTTATCCTAATCACTTCAGATTAAAAAAGAAAACTATGTTTTAATTACATTAAAATACAAAACAACTTGGACAACAACAGAAATGTTCTCCTTTAAACTGCATATCTAATTTTTCATTCATTAGGCTTTATTATACATACAGTACTATTGTCCTTCTATTTCAGGTTTTCTTTGTGGCCACTGGTCTATGCGGCTCTCTATATGATTCAGATTTCCTTATTTACAGAGAAATAGCATCAAGGAGCTTTGGACATGTCTTTCAAGTCAGTGCAGCTGATTTAAATATAGTGAGTGTCTATCTATTTACCATTTTAGTCAAATTTTATTGATAATAAATAATTGCTATTACTGAAAGGGAACATATAGCACATTTTGTACAGTATATATCTATCTTTTTTTAATTATGGTTACTAAATGTAATATACTACATAATATTTTATTATATTCTCATTTCAGTTATGTTCTCCGGGCTATCCTCATGCTTGCTGTGTTAAAAAAGGCTGCGGTTTACAGAAAGCAGTGGCTCAAGCTCAAATTAAAGCACATAACTGAATTTTTCAGAGCAATATCTTATTCCCCCCCTCCATCCCTCCCTGCTTTGTTCATACAGTTATGTGCTAAGTTCAATAAGACACAAATGGCCCGAAAGAAAACAGCTTCAGCTGTGCACCCCCGTTAGAGAACCTTGCTCTGTAAAAACCTGTGTCATTAGTTCACTCTTTGTTAAATGTTTATGTGTAAATGCATATGAACATTAAAAAATAAATGTAATAAAACTGACCTAGAAGTATTATTTTCTTCCATATATGACTTACTGAAGCTATATAGTAAAAGATTATACAAAATCAAAACATCAAAAAAATAAAATAAAAAATCCAGTGTCAACTAATCATATGCAGGCTTTTATATTAGAATCAATGTTGGGAAATGAATGTTGTAACCAGAATTTTTAAATTTTTAGTGCTTTGATGGTTTGACTGGCAACTACCCGGTCATGCAACATCGCACTGAAATTCATTTTATATCAATTTTTTAAATAGTGTTTTTTGATGGTATTTAAAGGAGAACTATGGGGTCAGTGTTTTTCCCCATAGTTCTCCTTAGGGTAACGGGAGGACACAAACTAGCGTCCTCCCGTTACCCTAAGCTCAGTATACCGCGAGCTACAGCTCGCGGTATACTGAGACACCGCAGCCGGAGCGGATCCCGACATGGACGTCGAGATCCGCCCAGCTGCATGAGTGACAGCTGGCTCCGCCAATCTAGAGGCAGAGCCAGCTGTACCCGCCCCCTCCCCCGTTTTATTGAGCTACAGCCTATATGCTAAAGATGGTTTGCACCTAACTGTGCTAGGAGAGAGACTCTTGGGAAGGTTGGAGGGATATTTAACTAATTCAGCTCACGCACCTGTATACCCCTTATAAACCAGAACAGTTTTTACCCTGTTTATTGCACACAAATTTGGCTATTTACAAAAGGGTGAAGAGTTTGGAGAAGTGAACAATGTAGGACAACATAGCTGAACCGGAAAGTGAGCTGAAATGGAGAATTTTTCCAAATCAGCTATGTTGTCCTGGATTGTTCACTTCTCCGGCCTTCTCCAAACTCATCACCCTTTTGCGAATAACCCTGTTAAGTCATTGCTAAAGATACCAAAGTAGCATATTATTTATTTAGGAAACAAACATGATCTTTTTGGTAAAATTGTCTTGAAAAAATGACTTTACCATCCATAGACAAAAAACTTTAAAAAAAACCCTAAAAAACAAACACCTTTTTTGGTCAGTATTACTTTAACAGTGTCTGTTGATAAAAACAATTTATTCTATAAAGTGTCCTGTCCATAATTACACTGAAATTATGATTCTGGTATAAAGCATTGATTTTTTTTCAAATTTATTTTAATGCAAGACTTAGAAAACACAAAAACAAATAATAAACAAAATAAAAATAAAAAGTTTACATTTTAATGGTTAGAGAAATAAAAATAAAATAGCAAAAAAAAAAAACAGGAAAATAATAGCTAAGGGGAGAAGGGCAACAGGGAATTAGGGCTGATTAGCAGAAAACTAATGGGGTTAAATAGGAACAATTTGTATTTATTTAGTTTATGCTTTTAAATGATATTGTATGTCGTAAAAGCTCACCCTTTGGATCTGAAGATGAACAGAATTGAGTAAAAACAAAAGTAAGAATAATGTTTCTCTGTATCTATCTATTGTTTGAGCAGTATTTATAAACATTGTGTCAAAAGGTTGATTTTTTGACAGATGCAGCTGTAATAGCTGTTGTATGTATACAGCAACTCCTGGCTGTGAAAATGACAAGCCAGGAATTGCTGGCAAACATGAGGGGAGGAGTGGCAGCAGGGGAGGAATACAGGATGTAATACTCACACCCTTCAATGAAGGATTTTTGGGCATGTGAGCCCCATATTTATGTCTGTATATGCAGCTTGTCTGTATTACAGTAATCAATAGGGATACACTGATACCGATACTAGTATCGGAATCGGTGCTGATGCCGAGTATTTGGGCGAGTACTCGTACTCATCCAAATGCTCCGATGCCTAGCCTGATACTTCCGGTATCAGGAAGCCGGCAGGGAGTTATTACATGCTGCCCGGTTTCCTGATGGGCCGGGAAGCCCTCATGACGAGGGAGCATGGACACGGCGCCTGGACACGGTGACTCATTACACGGCGCCTGGCTTCCTGATTGGCCAGAAAGCCGACTCCATGCTTCTTCGTCACCTAGTGACGAGAAGCATGTGGACGGCTTCCCGGCTAATCAGGAAGCCAGGTGGCAAGTCATTACATGCCGCCTGGATTTCTTAATGGGACTTCCGGTATCTGTCTCGGCGAGTACTGAAAAAAAATCTCGGTACAATTGGGTTTTAAGAACATCAATATTATATCCCCCAGATTTTATACATGACCCCCGGGTGATTACTATTTGTCACTCCCAATTAATATGTTGTATTTGCAGGTGTTTAATTACTTGGACTTCACATTGTCACAACCAATAAACAATTCCAAAGCTCTATTCTCTGGAAACTATGGAAATGGGAAACATTCCGATAGTTTTCCAGTTTCTTATAACTTCACTTCTTTATTAGTGACTTCAGATGGAGTGATCACCACTTTTAAAATATCAGGACCTAACAGTAAGATGAGTTTTGTTTATTTTTAATTGTTTTTAGAGCCTGTTCATTAAAAAAAAAAGGAAATTTTATTCACAAAAGTTTCTGCATTTAATTTCTTAGAAAATAAAAGATTTGGCAAAATAAAATTGGTCACTATGGGAAAGGTTTCTATTTTTGACACACTGTCGTTTTTATCTTGTTATTCATAAGCAGTTACTATTACCTGTTTATTCATATTAAAGTGTATGTCCAGCCAAGACTTGTTTTGTTTAGAGTGGAGGGAGGATTAGAACCCTGCCAGGTTTTTCGTAAATCTGGGGCTCCATTAGAAAGACGTTTCCTCACTTCCTGTCCTGCTGTCAATGTTTTACAGGAAGTGACGGAAACTCTCCAATAGCAACACAGGCTGAAATGAGAATGTGTTTCTTTAGCAGAGTAGGGAAAGGCTAAAACCCCTGTTAGATTCTTATTTCTGCGTGTTGAAGAGTTCCTCTCACTTCCTGTTTAACGAAAAGCTTGTCAGAAGGACAAGAAGTGAGGGAGAACCTCTCTAACCTCAGACAGCAGTCCTAAAATTTCCCTTATTATATACAAAACTATAAAAAAATGTTTTGGCATGACATGCACTTTAAAGTGGAAGTTCACCCTAGAATTACTCAATGAATACTAAACAGACATGTGACACACGTACCTTGATGGCACTAGAGGGGCTGAGCTACACAGAGAGTTGCATGGTGTGGCTGGTAATAGCCAGTGGTTTTCCAATTTTGATTGCTGGACAACCAGAGAGTCAACAGAAGTCCAACATGGTCCTATGCATTTATCAAGGCAGATGTGTCCAACTCCTGTTTAACATTCACTGTGTAATTAAAGGATGAATGTCCACTTTAGAGGAACTTGATAAATAAGTTGATATTTTACTAAAGTAAACCATCCCTAATGGTGAATGAGTAAACCTGAAAATTATAAATCAAACATTCACTAGCTTGATGAAAGACCTGCAGGGAAGTTATTTCCTGACACCCGGACTCTGTCCTATTTTGCCCATGACTTTGTTTGGGATATGGCATGAACTTGTATCTTTCATGTTATTCCATTCCAAAAAATATATGGTTAAACCACCATGGGCAATGAGCTGCTAATACTCAAGGTTAGGTGGTCAGCAAATCAAGATCTTAGTGGTAAGAATTCTGAGCTGGAGTCTAGGAGATCGTTGTTGTACATCTAAAACTTGTACATCAATCTAAAAATTTGAATTACTCTTTAAAAACCCCCAAAAAGACTGTTTATTCCTATTTTATTCCTATTTTATTCCTATTTTAATTAGCTGAATAAATAGGTATCATGATTTATTTAGCTGAGGTAGAGAATAACACTATAGAACCTGGGAAACTTTGCTTTAAATGTTGTGTTTTCCCAAGGACTCAGTCCTCTCAGCAGATTATGTTTTAGGGCTTTTTGCATAATTACTTAAACAACTGTGGCTCTATATAAGAATGTGTATAGTTAGATTTGCATTGTACGTCTTTCCTTCTGCAGCCTCTAAAGATGATATCAAAACAGTTGTGAATGAGGCCTGGGGTGCCATGTACATCATAAAAGATCCTACTACAGGAAACTGGACCATTGAGGTTGAAGGAAGCGAAAAATATTCTGTTCGAGTATCAGGATCTTATGGTGATTATCATGTCTTATTATTTTATTGTACAAATCCAACATATTGTGCAGAGAAGCATAGACATAAGGACCCCTTCTGCAACCATGGCCATGTGCACCTTTTACCAGGGTAATGTAACCACAACACACTGTAACAAAAGCGCTGTGGTGCCATTCATTATGAATGGCCCCCCAATGCACTGTTAGCATAGTGGGCAACACACCATACCTAGTGCATATTACATGCATTGTGATCCTCTGCATTAAACAAAAATATGCATGTCCAATTTTTAGAGCGGTAAAGTATATGTATGGCTAAATTTTTCTTTCTTAGTATTAGATGAAGTTACGAAGGGTTATCTTTTGCTAAAAAAAAAAATGTTAAAACCCCTATCGGGTTATCTCGCCTGAGATTTCTTCTCACTTTCTGTTTTGGAGATGCTACAGGTGAGAAGAAATTTCCCCAAAGGGAAAGGAGTTCCCATCTTAGACAGTTGTCACCATGGTATTCATCATCTTTGGAAGATTTTCCCTAACCTCATAACAACTCTTACAATTTAGGATTTCCCTTTAACTTAGGACATATAGAGGTTACCAGGACATATAGAGAAGGAGAATCCAGCTAGCAGGGTGTCACCTACCTGATAGGAGACCGAAATGACAAGGGAGGCTTCTCTTGTATCTCCAGCCAGGTGGTGGTAAGGGACAGGAGGAACACAAGTGCCGGAAGATGTTGCTTGTGGAACCTCATACTAGTGATGATGGCTAAGAAGAAACAGCAGAACATGCTGGCAGGGGTGTCCGGGAACACCAGCAGAAGTTATAGGAGAGCTTGGCAGTGGGTTCTGGCTGGCAAAGTCCACCAATGACACCTGAAAGTAGGTAGCAGGATCATTCTTAGACGTTTACAGTTGGTTCTTGGAGTGGGTAAGGGTAGCTTGATGGATAGCGAGAGACTCAAGTAGGTAGCAGTCGCAAGTTGCAGAGCAATCCAAGGTCAGCAACAAAGAGCAGTGCAGCACCAAATGATGAGCAGGACCAGAGTCAGAGACTAAGCAGAAGTCAGAAATTGGATAATATTTTAAAACTTGGGAACTTCTAAGGTGGACCTCGTATTCCTCTGGTAAGGTTTACAAATGTACATAGAATTGTAAATTACATACTATATCAATGACTAATAACATTTACATTTTTCTGCCTGAAAATTAATTTTTACATTAAGCCCTTATTTACTAATTTTGTGTTCCTCTAATTTTTACCCTAAAAAATGTAACAGAAGCTCAAACGTTTTGAGGACAGAGGCATCCAGGAAAACTTGCATTTAAGGAGTCACCATCGGCAACCTCTGTATTTCTCTTGGTACAGGTTTCCCTTAAGCATATGTTAACCCAAGATCTACGCTTTCGTCTGTTTGGCCCTCATGTTTTACTGTATACAGTTTTCCTAAAGCTTATTTCCACTTTTTCAGTCAAATTTGAGAAAACCCCTCTGTATGTTTGGTATGTGTTCCCATTCACACAACATACCCAAAAAAATATTAAAAAAAATTATTGTCAATATTTAGCTGTTTCTTTGGAGCGGACTGCAAGCTACTAGGAACAATTTGTGAGTGGGTTTGTCCCTACAACAAAGGGGGACAGACTAAACAAGTAACATTTTTTACATATTTTTTTATGCTATATGAACGGGAACATGTAACAAATATAAAATAAGTGTTCTGCCAATTTGTCTGCAAAAGTGGAAATACATTTTATAGTGTATGAAGCCCTCACTCCTAACATGTTTTATAAGTAGATTAGTAGGTTTTCTCTAGACTTCAGACATGTGGGGACTCTATAAAATCATCCGGGTTCTTTGACCTGGACTGGAAAGGTTTTATGCATCACATCCCCTTTAAATTAATCATCATTCACATTTCTGTACATTCACCAGAAAGCCATTCATACTCTTTATACAGCACATTCACCAATGTAACATTCAGCTGCATTTGTTTAATAAAGATATGGCTCTTGGTTTTTTTCATTTCCTGAATTGCATCTTAACGCATTTTTTATTTTCTCTTTTTTTCAGCTACAAATATATCAAGTAAGTGGAAAATAAAAAGTAGAAAATAATGCAACGGTGTATTCTTGCTCTTTAGTAAATGGCACCCAAAAACTTCCTCTCTCATAACATTCATAAATCAAATCAGAATTCATTACATAGGATAAATATTGTAAACATCGGGGGCCATAACCGATGCTAGTAGTGAATTCTGCTAAAATCCTTAACAATGACTATAGACTTTAGCCCACACTCTTATATATAGGTTTCCATGCTGAAACTGCCAGCGGAATAATTTTATTTCATGTACATTCAACTGTTATTGCAATTCAAATAGAGTCCGGGCACATTTGAAATAATATAATATAGAAGCCCTGATGAAAGGTGAGTGTCTGAACCCTTTAAATATGTTGGCTTTCTACTGAACAGTTGTTCAATAAACCATCACTTTGGACTCTTTGATCATTGGTGTGGCTCTCTTACTGCTAAATCTCAATCTTGAAGGATTACTTTGCTCTTGTCTGAAAATTTGAGCTTAGAATTCCATAAACATTCTTTGGAATACCTATAGCAGTGTTTTTTGCAGAAGGTATATTGTATACCGTATATTATTGCAAACGTGATGTCTTTCCAAGAGACACATTCATCAAATAATATTAATCTCTTTCATCTTTATGTCTCAATCAGCTACTTCAAACTGCTCGAAATGCCACCCCGAAGCTACCTGTGCAGACTACTTTGGCTACCTCCAATGTTCCTGCAAGGACGGGTTTATAGGAGACGGCTTTAACTGCTCTGATGTTGATGAATGCGCCTATTACTGGTCAAATAATTGTGGTTATTACACTTGTGTAAACACATATGGTTCATACTACTGCATGTGTCCATCTGGCTACCGCAATGACAGTGGAGCTGGATGTGTTGATGTAGATGAGTGCTCTAACCCTGGACTTAACACCTGCACTGTAAATGCCACATGCACCAATTGATGAACTGTGCAAGGAAACAAGTTGGTTATAATATGACTGTTGCACCAATTACTTAGAACCGTATTGCTGGATTGATGTATTGTGAGAGGTGTTTCACAACTGCTGGTTGCTCTCACTTCCATAAACTGCATTGCTGATTCATAGAACTGTGTCTAGAGAGATATCCTGTTCCAATCTCCCAAATTCACATGCGGGTTCACTTCATCCTATTAGTAGCCATTTCTCAAACCATTGCAACGGCAGACAAACAAATTACGTATCAAGTAACCAATTGTATTGCTGATACTCCTACCCTAAATCCAATCTAGCTGTAGGAAGATCCTACTCACCGGTTACATATGCAGATCTACTTCCAACTCTTTACTGCTACTTCCTCCAACCCAAACTACAGAGACTGATAGCTCCAGATCCTGCTGCCTCCTATAGCATCAGGGTAATACATCTCCACCACATAGGAATAGGGGTATATGATGTGTAACGGTTCCCCTTGGTACTGAGTGCATTGGGGTTCCGCAAAACTGAGCCCAAACATTACACTTCACACACACTCCGCAGCTGAGATCCGCATTAGACATAACCGTCGACTGTTACAGATATTAATGAATGCGCCTATTACTGGTCAAATAAATGCGGTTATTACACTTGTGTAAACACATATGGTTCATACTACTGCACGTGTCCACCTGGCTATCGCAATGACAGTGGAGCTGGATGTGTTGATATAGATGAGTGCTCTAACCCTGGACTTAACAACTGCACTGGAAATGCCACATGCACCAATACCATTGGCTCTTATACATGTGTGTGTGCTCCCGGATACTTTGGGAATGGCTTCTCCTGTCAAGTGGATGAGTGTGCCCTTGGTGTTTGTGGTTCTGGTATGGAATGTTCTAAATACTATGGTTCCTATTCTTGCTATGATCCATGCCTCACATACACTACCCTTAATGACCCATGGAGAAACACATCCTATACATATTCTTCGTATTATTCATATTATTATTGGAATTGTGACAATTACAAATTTGGATGGTACCGATTTGTAGGCAGTGGAGGTGTCAAAATGCCTGAATTCTGTGTTTCTGAATATTCGTGTGGCACAAACGCTCCAATGTGGCTCCAGGGATCACATCCCCTCATCTCAGATGGGATTGTAAATCGTACAGCCTGTGCTTCCTGGAGTGGAAATTGCTGCAGGTGGTCAACAACAGTGCAGATTAAATCTTGTCCAGATAATTACTACGTGTACAAATTAAGCGGAACACCCGCTTGTAGTTTATCTTACTGTACAGGTGAGTTCTACATCATATTAATGTGATACACTGTATGTCAAGCCAGCCTTGTAGAACTGCATTCTTCTACTATGTAATGTAACATTTGGCCTTCTTTTCAGATCCGTCCTCTGTCACTGATGTCTGTGCATGTGCAGAGACAGAACAATGCTCCTTGGTTGATGGGAAATATGGATGTTACTGCAAAGATGAATTTAAAATTTCTGGTATGAGTTTTGTGAACTTTTGAATTATATATATATATATTAAATGTCATCGTTAGGGTTATGTGGACCCTCTGGGATTGATTTACTAAAGGCAATTAGGCTGTTCACTTTGCAGGGGAATTTTCCCTTAGCTTAGTGAATGTGGTGAAAATTAACTTGGCAAAGTATTCCCAATAGAAAATGAAACAGTATTTATGTAATGAGCGCTGCCTTCCGTCTGCCTATCACTTTCAACAACTTCCTGGCTTCCCAGTGTGCTTTGTGTCTATTTAGCTGCTGCTTGATGTGACGCAATCTTGATTTCTCATATCCCATTTATTTATTACAGGCATTTATATAGCGCCGACAATTTACACAGCGCTTTACATAGTAGCCCATTCACATCAGTCCCTGCCTCAAGGAGCTTACAATCTAAGGTCCCTATTTCACATGCCAACTTAGACAGGAGTCAATGAACCTTTCAGCATGTCTTTGGAGTGTGGGAGGAAACCCACACAAGCAAAGGGAGAACATGCAAACTCCTTGCTGAACGTCCCCAGCTTCCAGCAAGCAATGATAATGAAAACATTGTTCAGACACTGAGTTGTAATTCAGAAGGTAGACCAGTGACCAGTTCTCCTTCAGTTCCCTCCTCTGCTGATTGACAGCAGGCAGTCTGCTGTCAATAGCCAGTCTGCTATTGGCTATTGCATTTTTAAATGGCTCCCAGCCTCTAGATACAGATGGGGCTGGGGCAGAGGAGGAACAGGGCAGGGCAGATGAGGAATGGGGCGTGGCAGAGGAGGAACAAGGCGGGGCAGAGGAGTACCGAGCCGGCGAAGAGAAGGACCGGGACAGTGACAGCACCGGAGGTACAAGTGGGGGCAGCGGGGGAATGCAGTCACGGCAGTGACATTCTCTTCTCCCTGCTGGTGCCGCTTGCAGTGGTCTGTGTCCCCGCTGCCTCTGCTGATACAGGCGGGGAGAGCAGCGGGGATTGAAAGGGACACAGACTGCTGCAGCCAGCACCAGTGGGGAGGAGAACTGATGAGCAGAGCGGCAGCGGTAGCGCTGCAAATAATCGATAATGAGAATCGTTGACAACGATTCTCATTATTGTTTTCGTTTTATTGAATTGACGAAAATTGAGTACCCAAAATTGAGTAACCATTAACTACTCTTTAATTTCATTTTTGTTTCGTTTTTGTCACTGAAAAATGTCGACAAAAGTAACACTGCATAGCTAACCCTGTTTGGTGAGATTTTAGCCTCTGCATATATGGGAGATCAAGGATTTTCTTAAGTTCACTTTGTGCAGTGGGATTTGAGCTTGCACAGTGGGGTTCAGCTCCAGGAATACATAGCTACCACTGGAATAAGTCTCCACAAAACAAGAGGTTCTTCTGTTGCTACATTCTAGGTCTCTGACTGAAGCTTCAGGAGATTTCCAGGCACACAGCCTTCTTCCCTTGTCATGAAACCTCCAGGCACACGGCCTGCAAAAGAATCAAACCCTCTTGGCCCCTGGCTCCATACGCCACTACCTTGAGAAAAAAACCAAGATGGTGGTGCAGGCTTCCTAGTGCAGTGGGGGAGGAGCTTTGGGATCTAGGAAAATAAGAAACTAAGAGGCAATATATGAAGACCATGTTATATTGGTAAAAATCTCTTTTAAAATATTTTATAATAATGTAAATAAATGCCAATTGGGGGCGGGGAGGGGGGGGGGGGGCTGGTGGTATTCTGCA